TGCTATCCTGGCTCCAAAATGGTGGAACGAGCTCCCCCATTGAAATCAGGACAGCAGAAAGCTTACACAACTTCCGGCGCAGACTGAAAACTCATCTCTTTAGACTCCACTTCGAGCGATTGAATTACTAACAAAGCACTTATATACTAATAAAGGACTGGTTTATCTAAAGCCAGTTGAGTAGCACTTGAAATGTTTGGCTCTATGAAACCTGATGTACTTATATGATTCTGTTTTCTTCAAGGTTGTATCTTCCTGGTCGAATGTACTTATTGTAAGTCGCTTTGGATAAAAGCGTCAGCTAAATGCAATGTAATGTAATGTAAAGTGTTAAAAGAACAATTGCCCTTTTATATAGTGGGATTAAATGCTAAACTGTGTCTGAACAGCAGTTTTTGGGTTGGTGTTGGAAATCACTAACTTTTTTTTTACAAATGGTAAATTCTTTATTTAGGTTTTGTATGGATCAAACAATATATAGTGTTAACTAATCAGCAAAAGAGCCGTTGGTGGATACAAATTGTAATTTGGACAGAGCCAGGCTAGCTGCCCTCGCTTACAATCTTTAAGTCAATTTATTTTTTTAAGTTAGGAGAAACACAATAAAAACAAAAACAATTTAAAGGCATTTTAATTAAGTTAAAATAAGTCAGCAGTGATGTGGCAGTGCAGTGTGTGTAGTTTATTGTCTATGAACAAATGCTACAACTCTTCCACCTGCTGATTAAAGTGAGGGTGCTCTGTTAGCCCCCGAGCTAGCAGTGACAACGGCTCAAGCTTAAGGTGGAATTACTTTTAATGTGGGCAAGCTATTCCCATGTGACAAGCCACTTTACTTTTAGTCAGTACACAGAAACAAATAAAAGTAACACAAATCAAATAATTTTTATTTATAGCCTATAGCACATTTTTAAAACGATTTTTGGTCGAGCCAAAGTGCTGTACATATAATAATTACCTTACAGTAAGGACACTATACAGCACATACAACAGCACAGTTTGTGCAGAGGATCCAGGGCACAGGACCACAGCAAGAGGATCAGCCTCGACTCCGGATCCCGGCGTAGATATAGACACAAAAGAAAAAGAAAATTTGGGGGAGACTGGGTTAATCGGAACATGCAAATACACAGAC